AGAATATGTACATAAACAAGAAAAACAACAACAAAACTAAGTATGAATAAAACAAGAACAAGAACATGAACAAAAACAAGAACATGAACAAAACCATGAACAAGAACAAGAACATGAACAACACCAACAATTAAATTAATTGTGACACATACAAGAACAAGAATAAGAACATAAGCTAGAACCTAAACAAGAACATAGATAAGAACAAGAACATAAACAAGAACAAGAACATAAATAACAAGAAGAATATGGACATAAACAAAAACATTAACAAGAAGCACAACAACAAAATTGAGTATGACAAAAACTAGAACAAGAACACGAACATATACAAAAACAAGAACAAAACAACAACAACAACAAAATATGGACAAGAACAATAATAACACCAACAATAAAATTAAGTATGACAAAAACAAGAACAAGAACAACAATAATAAGAACAACAACAACAACTACAAAAAACCTAAAACTTCAGATCAACTATATAAGCAGCACTAATAATAATTTAAATAATTTCTTCGAAAAAAAAAATTTTTTGTTCTGACTAAAGTGCAATCGCTACTAGATACATTTATATTAAAATATACCACTGTGACTGCATAAATTTAAAAATCCGGCGCACTTGTTCCCTGAAAGAAAAAAAAATTCAGCAGAATTTATTAGTGTTCCAATTTAGATGAATACTTTCGTAGAATAGAAGAATAGAATAAGATTAATTAGAGCTGATGTTAGCCAGGTTTCGTCTAGTCGATTGTTATAATTTATAATATTTTGAGAACATGTGGCGTGCGAATAGATAAAACTAAAAGACTAAAACCTAAAACGAAAACAACCAAAACACCCTTACCTAGATCTTTTAAAAAAATAAACTAAAAATAGTTCCTTATACTTAGCCTTGGTCTTAAACTTGCGAATAACGTGACTAGTATTTTTAACAGCTGGTCTAGGAAGGACGTCCGCTCAACTTATTTTCACTTTTTAACCTACAGCCTACGATTCTCAAGGACACTCAATTTTAAGCCTTTGTTTTACCAAAATTAGTTATTTTTTATTTTTATTTTAAACTAAAAAATTTTTTTAAAGCCTAAAATTTATTCGACAATTTTGTCATAATTATTGCAAGTACTCATCATCCCTTTTGTTATTTAATGGAAGGTACAGACAATTAATACTGTACAGATTCTCCAATAAATTATTTAAAGCTTGCAAAGGATAAAATGTTAGATTGATGAGAATAATTGTCCAAAACTGGCGCAATTCTATGAATTGCCATTGAGTAAAATGATCTTTAAGAGGATAAGATGGGTCAAAATTGCCCTTTAATGTCTTCTTATGGTATTGTCATTACTGAGAAAGTTCTTAAGAATATTTTACATAATTGAAATGGTTCAATGTCATTGGTGAACATTATGACCAATAAATATTGACCAACATTATATTTTTAATTTATGAATTTTTAGTCTGAAAGTTGGAAAAAGGTAAGTTCTTAACAACTTCATTGACAATAACTTAAGGCCCAGTTTATTACTGACAAAATTTTTAAGCTATTTAGAATTTCATAAATTATCTTTCAGGTTCGGAAATTTAAATAAATTTTGAATAATAGATTTTTGAATTTTTACAACTTTTGACCGAGTTTTAAGGGATGTTATAAGGAGGTTGGGTGATTTTTTTTATGGTAATTAAACGTCAGTTGTAAATTAATTTAAGAAAAATATTATTTTTAACAAGTAAAGTTAGTTAAAAAATTTTAATTTTTTAATTTTGAAAATTTTAAAATGTAAGAAAAAAATTTTTAAATAAAAATTATTTGTAGTTCAAAATTTTGTGTCAGAAAAATTATTAAAATTTGAAAAAATTCAATTTTTTATATATGGGTCATTTTTATGGGGAATTTTGAAATTTATGGGGTATTTTGAAATTATGGGGAATTTTGTTGGTAAAAAATTTAAAAGATTTCTAGATCACAAGTTTAAGTTAATAAAATTGTTATAAAAAATAGAAATTGTTATTTATGGGTCATTTTTATGGGGTATTTTGAAGTTATGAGGAATTTTTTTATAAATTAGTAATAAATTAATAGTAATGAAATAATTTTAAAAAACTAAAAATAAAATAATTTTGCTATGGGGAATTTTGATATTTATGGGGCATTTTTATGTGACTTAAAATTTTTTATTTTAAAATTTTAAATTAGGGAAATTATTGTTAAAAAATAAAAATTTTTATTTATGGGTCATTTTTATGGGGTATTTTGAAATTATGAGGAATTTTTAAATGTAAAGAATTTTTTCAATGAATAATTTTGAATTTTAGAAAATTTATTTTAAGATGTAATTTTTTATAAAACCACCTTAAGAATAAAAATAAATTTTTTTTATCTAATAACTACTGATAGAAAATATATTGACATATTTGTACGCTCACGAAATTCAACGTTAATCCTTTGTATAAATACTTAATCTACGCTCGAAAAAAAATAAAAAAGAAAAAAAAAAGGTTTAGTTCATAATTTAATAAACATAAGATTATACAAAGGTTTAAAAATTCTCGGAATAATAGAATATCTCGTAAGCCAACAAAATAAAATGTATGTTATTTTGTAGATAAAGTTATTGATACAGAATTCAAATCGGTTAAAACTATAATATTTGTTTTCAGTGTTTTTTTCCTCTAATATTTATCAAAGGATTAAATTTTCTTTATCGATTTGTAATTATTTATTAGTCATAACGTCATAATAGATAAGTATGTATTTATATATATATTTTTTTTTATCAAAAAACGGTTAGTATATCGATGACAAATCTTCCCTAGATCTGAATATCTGATCTAAAATTTTTTTTATAAATTCTTCGTTTAATTTTTTGCATTTACGATTGACTGGAGATTTTATATAATTTTTTTTCGTCCAACGGAATTTAGAATCAAGATAATTTTTTTAATTTTCTTCAAAAAAATAATTCGTTGGTCGAAACAATTTAAATTTCTCATATTTTTTTATAAGTATATATTTAAATAATAAAAACTAGCAACCTTGCAATAAATAAAATTTTGCTTTATTAAATAATGACTTTTGTTAAATTGCACTGTATTTCCTTAAATATTGATGTTTTTTAAAATATAAGCTCATCCTGATGTTACACTCATCAAGAGCTTTCATTTGAGTGCCTACTTGCATTTTTGATATATTTTTCATATATGCATATATATAATATATATAAATATAAGAAAAATTGATGTGTGTACTCAAATGAAAGGTCTCGATGATTGTAACATCGGAATGAGCTTATATCTTTAAAAATGTCAATATTTCACCAGATACTAGGTCATTTCTGAATTATTAATATTTTTAAAGATATAAGCTCATCCTGATATTACACTCATCAAGAGCTTTCATTTGAGT